GAGTTAACCTGTTACTGCACTTATGAGACGTTATGGCGATTTGAATGATTTATGAACTGTATTCGACACGTCTTGCATGACGTCCATGACGTTGAATAAACAAGGTAAAGTACTCTTGGAACTGCGAAATCTCACTATACAAGGTATTTGAATTCAAAATTAGAAACAATGTGAGAACATGATTTGTCACCGTCTTTGATATGAAAACATGCAGACGTCAAACTTAATGGCGTTATATATAGGTTAATTTGCTTTTGTAACTATCATAGGACATCAAAAAAAAGAATATGGATCAACAAGGACATAGCCTCAAACACACCCAAGAAGGACACCCAGAAGACACCCAACAAAAACCTGGAGTTGACATAAGGGCGGCGAAAAGGAGGGACATTTGAAATTTGATGACTATATTTTTTTCTGTAACTTTAGTATTAAGTAACAGTTACGATCTTCAGATATACGTACTTTTACTTATGTAGCACACGTTTTGAAATGAAAACATGCAGACGTCAAACTTAATGGTGTTATGTATAGGTCAATTGCTTTTGTTATTATCATAGGACACCAAGAAATCTGATGACTATATTTTTTTCTGTAACTTAAGTATTAAGTAACAATTATGACCTTCAGATATACGTACTTTTACTTATGTAGTACACGTATATGTCAAAAGATTAATAGAACATTTCCGAGAAATGTCAAAGGTTTCTTGTTTATTATGCAAACATTTATGGTTTCATTCCGTAATTTTGTCTAAGAGTTCGTTTATTTGGTTGGCTGGTTTTAACGAGATTTTTGTAGCATAAGTTATTATATTATCCCGGCGGCATGTTAGTCTAACTGGTTTTCCTGGAAAACTAAACAGTAATAAACAATGTTTCTGCAAGTGACCGATTCTATTCACCCTATATGATAAGTGAATCAGTGATGACAGACACATGACCATTAGATTAAATGTCCGTGGTCAACTGTCACTGAAACATTTCACCTCACCGTAGGATCCAACCAGCGGCACTGGGTTGCAAATCCGATCATCTCCATATCGAGCTAAGCATAGAGTTTAACGTCACACCGACACAGTATATAAGTCACTTTCATTGTGACTTTCCAGCTTTACTGGTGGATGAAAACCTAATGTGCCCGTCCGAGCATTATTTCAGGCACGAACGGGCACCTGAGTAAAACCACCGACGTTTCGTAGTCTAGCTGGATAGCTTCCTCACAAGAGTGAATCTTGAGTCCCTGTCGGGATTCGATCCCACAGCGGTGAGGAGCAAGTGCATTGAAGTCAAAATCCTTAACCACTTGGCCATGAATGTCTTTTCATATTTGCATACACTACTAATTGTATTTTTGGGGATTACAAAAGCTAATATAGACTAATGTCGTCAATCTATGATGTCTGATTATCGCCACGTCGTATTTTCACTTTTTTCACAAACACAACCATGCAACAAAGTTGGACTTTTCTACATTTTTATCACGACAGTTTGTGTTGCGTTGTGACGTCATACCAATTTGCCCGCTTGCAAACTTAAATAATATATATCCGTTTGAACGTATTTCTTTAAGAAATAAAAAAACAATTCGTAGTAAAAATATTCCTGATCCGACCATTAACTGTAGGGTCTATTGCAGTATAATACTTTAATGGTATGATATTTATATATAGACTATATGTAAAAAACAAAATAAATGAAACAGACAGTGTCGTTAAAGCAGACATACAGCCGACATTTCATGTTCTTACAACAACTCCCCTTTTAGACAGAGCCATAAAAGCGCTATATTTGGATTCATCTTTCTTGAATTTCCGTGGTACATAAACTGTAATTCCATTTTATACATTTAATTAATAATCCACGACACATTAAGAGAGCATTTAAAACACATTTGTTGTTACTATACTCTAGAAGTTAAACGCAAAGTTCTTTTGAAATGTGCTTTATTTTCGGAAAGTAGTGTTGTAGGTTTAATCAGATGCGATTTATCATGCATTACTCCTGCCTCGTACAATGATAAAATAAGTGAATACAGATTAACCACTGAAAAAGACGAGGATAAAAATTAACAAGGCAAGAGCAACGCTCACGGGTTATAGTCACCGACTCATTCAAGCTACCACAGCAGGGCACCCAGAAACAGATTATAGTCACCGACTCATTCAAGCTACCACAGCAGGGCACCCAGAAACAGGTTATAGTCACCGACTCATTCAAGCTACCACAGCAAAGCACCCAGAAACAGGTTATAGTCACCGACTCATTCAAGCTACCACGGCAGGGCACCCAGAAACAGGTTATAGTCACCGACTCATTCATGCTAGCACAGCAGAGCACCCAGAGGGCACCAAACAAAAACCGGGAGTGGACATAAGGTCGACGAAAGGAGGAGGGGGACAAGTTATGTGTGAAATAAATATAAAACCTAAAACGGAAGCCATGTTCACGTAACGAAGCCAGCAGAGCAACGACACAATAATGGGTACCACAAGGCTAGTGGAATAAACAATTATCAAGATCATCAAACACGTTTTCAAAAAAAAAATACGAAACAGTTTCATAAAATTTAACACGCGAAAAAGCGAAAGTATATGCCAGTTTATAGGGCGGTGCTGCTGTTCTGAATATCATAAGAGCCATAACATGCCTCTATCTTTAAGCAAAAATCAATTTTACTTCCCACTTGTATGCCGCCATTGCACGTTTAATTGTTAAATTATACTAAAGCCGGGGCTATGGGCGGCGTGTACGGTTGCATGCAATTTCCACTATCGTCTATGAGCAAGTTCAATCAAATTGAGCTTGCAACAATTTCCATTTAGCCATTTTTTGGCGTTCTTTAGGGATTCCGTTTCTCTTTATATTGCATATCACAATGACTTCATGTGATCCGTAGTGGTGCCTCTACGGAATTGAACACAGTTAATACATAAGGCTGGGAAGTAAAAATGAAATTATTGAAATTAGTTAAAAAAACAATTGTTTTTCAAACATATTTTGATTGGTTTAAATAAATAATTTATCATATATGTCATATACTTACGGTAGCCCTTTCATATTGTGTTGATTTGTGTACTTGAGATGCATCTACGATTCCGTTTAAGAACGCGCTGAAAAAGGTAAACATTTTATTTTTCTAAATAACCGTTTTTAAAGAATATTTCAAAAATCGAAAAATGTCATGCCACGTAGAACATTTTTCTCATCATTTTGGGTGCAGTTTTGATACGAAATACCCTAAAATGACGTTGCTAGAACTTTTACTAGATACTTACTCGTTTGGTCTCTTTTACGAGACGACACAACGATACCGTGGAGTAAACGTTAACCCATTTAAGATGCATATAACAATATCCAAATCTCCTCTTTGGCTTAACAAATGCACACATAAAAATAATCACGGAGCACGGATAAAAATAAAATACTCACATTATTCAAATGTGATTTGTGAGACATTGGCAAGGTGCCAGCGGCATTGAAAATAGGTAATATCATCATTAAATAGGTGTTAATGTTGTGGAATCATGCAGGCACCTTAAAGTGAATAACGCTTTATCTCATGGAATATGTTATAAAATTTTGAGAACTGTACAGTTATATTATTTGCATAACTTTGTGGCCGTTTTTTGACATATGTCGACAGAGAATGTGTTTGTTATTTGATATACAATGAACAAGAATATTGTATGTAAACAGAATAAAATGGTCTGGAACAAAAAAAAATCCGTCTAGGTTTTAGAGATGATTTCACAAAGGCCCCTACTTGATTTCAATAATATATACTGACAAATTTTGTTCTAAGTATTCTGTAATCAATTTTGAAAATAAAAGAAAAAACAACAGCAAATATACATGTATAGCTTCATACACTATTATTGGCAACTGTTAGTCATGCGAATCCTGTAAACATAATTATGAAAAAACCAATAAAATAACAATCCACAGACATTGCTCAGATAAACGAGGATTGATAAAAAAAGTTCTTGGTCCAATGTACTTCCGGTAGTCAAGAGAACCCAACCAATGGTCTTACTTTTCAATATAATCGCCCTCTACATCAATGCACTTTGCCCACATGTTCTCTAACTTGTTTAACCCTTCAAAATAGAACTCTCTATTTTGGTCCTCAAAGAACCGATTGATTGCCTCCATGAAACATTCATTGCTTCCAAAACGTCTTCCACGAATCTTGCTTTTCAGTTTCGGAAACAGGTAGAAGTCAGAGGGGGCCAAGTCCGGAAAATATGGGTGATTGGGAAGAATTTCAAATCCGCAGTCAGTTGCAGCAGCCATCGCAACTTGGGATGTTTGAGCTGGCGCATTGTCGTGCAGAAGCAGAACGCCTCGAGTGCGTTTGCCCCTCATTAACGCGCGATTTTTTGACGCAGAAGTCTCAATTCGTCTGCATAATACATACCGTTTATTGTACACGGTCTCCTGTCCCCTTCCCATGTGCCCTTTGACTTTGTGGGCCTATTATTCAATCATTAATTTGTTTTCTTTGAATTCCTTATCAGTTACAAATTATTTTGTCTATGGATCATTTGAGTGATTAGCCTGTCCGTGCTCTGCCTTTTGCCCTGTCCTGTTTATGTTTGGGACCCTCCCGGGCTCCTTGCCACTGGTTTTTGTTACTCGGTCATGTGGATGTTGCGTCCATTGAACGTCGCCTTTCCTTGTTTATCTTGTTTATCATATTTTCGGCAGTTTCGTCGTCGGTGGCCTTTTTTGGCCGCCCAGGCCGCTCATCATCTTCAATGCTCTCCCTAACCCTCTTAAATTCAGCAGCCCATTTTTTCACAGTGCTATAGTAAGGGGACTCCTGTCCAAGTGTATCGATGAAGTATTCATGGTTTTCCTTGGGGCTATCGATATCGACGTATCGTGTGTAAATGTCAGTGTAGTGGCTAGAATTATATCGGGCCGAGAACTTTTTTTATCATACCTTGTTTAACTAAAGTAAGTATAAGTTTAGGTTACAGACCACTAACTGTTTTGCTACGGACAACTATCGACATTATAACCGGGAAGTATATTTCAGAACTTGTTCTCGATTTGTGATTAACATGATTATATATCAGATAGTTATCTAAAATATTTTTAAACCGAAAGAAGACAAGCTGTTCTACATCTAGTGAAGCTCTTGTTTTGTAAGTGGAAAAGTAAATTTTGACTCTAGTACGAGGTACAGTATATTTTTATGATTGTTGTAATTATCATCCAACGGGCGGAGTTAGCATTCCCGATATGTTATGTTTCAGGTGTTGTTTTTATATATATATATATTTATTAACAGGAATAATAAATTGCGAAGATTCATGAGTATAAAGTGGTACTAACTAAATGAAGAGCAGAGATGATGATGATGATGATGATGATGATGATGATGATGATGATGATGATGATGATGATGATGATGATGTACGTTATGATGATGATATTGATGATGATGATAATGATGAAGATGTTGTTTATGATTATAAATGACGTTGATGAATAATGATGAAAAATAATGATGAATTTCAATGAATATAATTATAGTGATAATGATGTTTAATGACCTTGATGAATTAAAGTGATGATGATTATGATAATAATTAATGATGACTCAGAGATTAACTTGCATTCATTTACTCCTAAAATTCCTACTGGGATGCACATTTCCTTTCCTCTTGCATCTAAGTGGGTGCATAAAAACATAATACTAACTTCATAAATATTGCTTAACATTATTAACAAAATCTTGCAGCATATAAGTGTTTGCTACATGTAAAATATAGTCAGTAAGTATCATATGTTAGTAAGGAGTCACAACTGGTTGAATAAGATATTTACCATTTTTGAATTAATGATTGGACACCTTGAGATTGTAGTTGAACCCCTATCATCAAAGCTCCTGCATCAATTTTGAGCCCTGGAAAATGAGTGATCACTGATGTAAATCCCTGATCATTATACATCGGTTTTACTTCACTTTAAATTATATTTACTACTTCACGAATTACAGCCGATTTATTAGTCACGTGGTATCAATATCTTTACTTGAAGAATGTAAACAATTTACAGTTTTATTATACACTAAAGAACATGTATAGATTGCGTAGTTTATAAACTTTTCATTTAAACTTCGACTGGTGTATGGAGAACACCATGCTTGTGTCTGCTATTACACAATTGATCAGGCAAGGGTTAGAAAACCCAGTCCTTTTGTGTTTTTCGTGCCAAACCTGATCAATTTTATAATATCAGACACTTGTTTGGCATTATATGTATCATGTTTGAAATTTTAATATGCGTGTATTTCTTTAAAATTCAAATGTAACAAAAACCTGTCAAATACCTCTCGAGGTCACGCCGTGCGCAATAATATGCCAAGAGTAATATCTTTAAGAATAGCCGCGTATGTTTTTTTTGTCAAATGTAAGAAAGACTTTAATATAAGAAAAATATATTCGATTTAAAGTTAATCTGTTTAGTTTGATATTTACAAACTAGTGAGGCGATAAATATTCCGTTATCTTCATTTATTTCAGTATGTTTTAATGAGTTGTTTGATAAAGCTGAGGGTGACCGATATAGCTAAATATATCAGGCATGCCCTCTATCAACAAAAAATGCATATAAAGACATGCTACAAACGAGTTATATTGTCAGTCAATATTTTATAAACGAATAAACGAGCAATGTTTTTGAAACGTATGCGAACCTGTTCAATATAAACATGTGGTAATAAGTATGCCAAATTATAAATTGGCGCATAGTTTTAAATATTTATACATATTATATAATCTTCTAATACTGAACGTTTGTAACGTCGCTTTTCGTTGGATAATTCTGACGTTTATACAGTTTTATATAAAATATTGCACGTTTGTTTAAACAATTTTATATAATAATAACGTTTGTAACGGCGCTTTTCATTGGATAATTGTAACGTTTATATTATATGTTATTTTGGTTTTGGAGTGATATATGTGGATATATTACCTGCCAAGATTTTATATCATCCGAGCCGTCAGACTTTCTCCAAAACCAATACAATTATTTCCCCTTCCCCTGCCGAGTCAAATGAAACGTCGAAATAAGATTCCCTTTACCGCAAAATGACGTCAACGAAGCGGAGGTGCATCGGCACAATGCATGTTGTTTATAACGTGGGGTACCAAAAGGGGAAATTCAATATGTATATTACCTGTCTGACTCGGTAATCATGGTAATATCAATTATTTTTGGCGGTTCAATATCCAATCAAAAAGGCGGACAAATTTGAAAGGGTAATACAGTTTAGTATACACGGCTGCTGATAATTTATGAAGATTTTTTTTTTCAAAAATGAAGTGATTGTTTCGGTATTATAAATTCGTTATAAAGATTACTGATAGGTTATATGGCCATACATAAACGGTTGTTATATATGCAAACAACCGTTTATATACGACCGTGTAACCTGTCAATAATCTTTAGCTCAACTTTATAGAACTATCAGAAAGACAAATATGTATATGCTATAAATAACGGGTTGACCAGCTACCCTTTTTTCAACCTTTCCACCTTTATGAAGAGCGTACGAAGATATACTGGCATGACGGGTGTAAACAGGCAAAACACCCCTGTAAAAATTGTGCATATGCTTCCATAAAAATTGTTTAAGAATTCACATTTATCAATCAATTCATATCTACTCTGTTAAATTATACCTTTTTACCAATGTCTTTTATTCTAAACTTCATACATATTCAGCATTAAACGTTAAACGTAGGCACTATTTCTCTTTTAACTATTGTAGGCAACAAAGGACAAATAACTGTGACCTCTTGAATTTGACACTCTCTTGATTTTGTAAAGTTAAGGAAAATTAGTGGCGTAGAAATACAATGTTTACAGGCTGTAAAGATTGACACACTATATTTTAAATCCCTCTTTAATTAATATTTGGTCATATCCACAGAAAAATGACTGCTGCTGCTGCTGCTGTTGTGGGAAGAAGACAAACGGAGGTGGAAGAGTTTGGTTATGACGCTCAAGTGTCCAGTAACCCGAAGGCACGACTCATGTACTATGTGCACAGTATCTACAACGTCCTTGACATGACCTCGATACCAAATATCCAGAAATTGAGGAATGTAACATTCTGTCTTTTTTATTTATTTATAATTGTTATTTATTTATTTGTATTTTGTATTGTACATGACGGTCATTATACTCATACGTGTAGGACTGTAGCGCTCTTAGATAACATGACGTGAATAAATTAAATAGAAATGACATTAAAATCAATAAAAAACTATATATGTAACGAGTTTGAGTGCACTTGGCGCAGCCATTTTGAAATCCTTGCCGCCATTTGAAAACATTTCGGGCTAAATATATTGCGCTTTTGAGCGTCTACATAATTCAGACAATTGCTAGAAGACGCGCTAGTCTTCATTCGGAACTGCCTCGGCTATTATCTATAATATTAACCTCGGAAACAATACGGATTGAAAGTAGTTCTACCACGTGGTTTCAGGTGTAAACAGAAATAGAGATAATGTAAAACGAATGTATATATTTGACATCTAATGCCTATTCCGGTACTCTTTTGCTTGAAAATATGTCTGACAACAATTTGTAATTTAAATATGCCCACTGATGTTCAATTTTAAGCAAATCCGACGAAATGTCAACAGGTTGGTTTTTTGTACTTTCGGTTTCTACAACCATAATAATAAATATATAAATAATGAATTGTTTGCTTTTGTACCTATGATATCACTTGTTTTAGGTGAACTTTTACTACATATATTGGAAATAAACTTGTAAACAACTCCCAGCATTAAATTACTATTTGTTTACATGTTTAGTTTCTTAGCGTAGGTTAGACAGAAATACCGCATCCGTTCTGTGTATTCATACTATTGTGTTCGAGGTCCTTATCCGAAGACTGACGGAAAGGGCCGAGTAGTTGCGATTGGCTAGTCTTCTGTGTCAAATAGCACTTCCGGTAGAAGAATAATGTACAAAATCAAAAAATGAATAAGAACGATAGTAACGATGATAAATATAAAAAGTTACTTTTACATATCCATTTTGATAAACCAGCACATTAATAACAACTGTGATTAGAGATTAATATAAAAAAATGGCGGGCGGGATTTTCCAAACTCCAAGGCAGTGGTCTCCCTTTGCTTCCCTTCACAGAGCGTAGCCAATCAAATTACAGTGAGGAGTTTCCGGAAAGATTCGGAGCACTACGATGAAAGATTGAACACCACCAATTTATTTGTTTCTGTTTACGGTACAAAACACCTATAATCACTTATTTACGAAGTGCAAGAAAGATCTGGTTTACATGTATACTGAACATGCTATGCTGGATATTGAATCAAAATTAGCTTTCCGCGGCATAGGTAGCACCTAATTTCATATTATATATTTCTTACAGAAAAGCAATAATTAATATATTCTTGAAACGATTTTAGCAGAGTTGAAGGGGGGAGTGTGTTTTGTTTTCTCGTTTGTTTGTTTGTTTGTTTGTTTGTTTGTTTCGGTTCTGTTTTTTACCTTGTTATATTGTATTTACTGTATTTCATTATTAATTAACTAATTAATTAATCAATTTATTAATTAATTAATTAATTAATGTATTTATTTATTTATTGTTTGTTTATTTGTTTGTTTGTTTGTTTGTTTATTTGTTTTTCTTTCTTTGTATATTTATTTATTACTATTTTGTTTCTTTTTTGTATTCACCTAAAATGCTACATGTACAGGCATACCATCGTCGGATACCCGCGGTTGATTAACATGTAACATAATATGTAATCAACCGTGGGTAAAATGAAGCAAATTGCGTCGATATACAGCGCGTAAAATGTCGTCCATTGAAATCGTGTTTAACAAAATTCATACTCTTCAACAGCAAAGTTAAACAACTGTCAGAAAACAAAATATCAGCGCTCACGGTGTAAACCTGTTTCACGTTTCTTGCCGATATAACCGGCAAATCATTCCCAAACTTAACCAGTCCATAAGCAAAGACCACAATATCAATATCTTTTATGTATCAAGGTTTCACCAACCGTCGTTTGAGAACGATCGTTTTGATTGGTTTTAATCGACTCATTGGGGCAACCAATAAACACCTCTTATCGGCTGGATATCTGCAAAAAAGCCCACGGCTGAGAAATATTAATTGTTCGGCTGTGGGTATCCGATGATGCAGGCATACATGTATGATATATTATAAAAACCTTGACGTTGTTATCACAAGAAGAACATATACTCGTGATTCTGTCAAATATTAACCTAGACCTCTTTATTACAGAAATTACAAGAGTCATCAGCGTCTGACAGACGCTGAAACGAGGCAGTTATATGAGCTCTGTAAAATACTGTCACCGGATAAGCTTAATGATAAGGCCATATTCCAGGTAACTTCGTCTGTTTTCATGTCGTCTGTTTTCATATCGTCTGTTTATATTTCATCTATTTCACCGTTTGCCTCTTAGTTTCCTTGTTGTAACAGCTTTTCTGAGTTTTCCAACTTGATGTTTAACTCTGTTTTTGCTCCTTTTTTTATCAATTCCATCTTATTTGTAAAAACGGTACAGACAAAGGGAGAAAATTATAAAATCATATGATTTTTTATAAATGGGGTGAGTCCTCGAGTGTTATGAAACAAAGCAAAAAAGATATGTGTATAATATATAAGATATTTTCATCATGAATGATATTATGTTACTGACATTCTATTTGAATTTTCATCCAATTTTTAGATTGTTTCTAATGGGAATTTCTGTTAAACTCTTAATAACATTGCTATTGTTTATGTCCGATAGACCAACCTTCTTTACTAAAGTAATTTATTATACCTCAAGTAAACTGTTTACTACATGTATATAGCCTAATGTAACGTTACATGGTTTCATTTCGATCTGTCATCCTGTAAAGGATATCACTTGGTCAATATCTTTTTTTCTCAGGGGCGAATAATCTCTACAAAATGTTCTACTTCTCTCCCTTGACCGCAATCAAGCTTATTGGTGAATGTTGCTTCGCCTTGGATGTTATTTCACTTTTAAGATTGCTAATATGCACATTTAACCTGAGAAATATGCATTATTTATTATATTATACATACATTTATTTGCTTTTATAACACACAATTCAGTTAAGGCCACAGTTGTTTCACCAAAAACTTCGATCTGTTCAATTAAGAATAGTGAAGATATGGCGATTAGAAACCGGGGAAACCCAATGCCAAGATGTGCAAACATGCATATAAATCAAAGGCGTCAAAACACGACAAGCTATAGCACCATAAATATTGTACTTTTTCATCAAAATGTCGCTATATATATTTTGTATCTTTATTGCATTTTCACACAAAACACTATCAGGGTTTCAGGCACACAAGTGTGACTTTAAGAAATGCGCCATATTTTCGCGTTTTCAAATTTCGTACCGTCTTTTCGTTCTTTCACCCTTCTCGGTGAATAGATCGAAAATGTGAGACATCAATGACCCTAACCGAACACCGTATATTTTTACAGGATGATACCTTGTGTAGACAGGACGACAACAAGTTCTACAAAATTAACACAACAGAGCATAATCTTATTGTGTCAGACGCTATAATTATCGGTATGTTTATATAGATAGCCCTTACCTCTCTAAATATATTATTAATAATAGTAACATACCTCCAGATTTTCATAATAGTGATGTTGTTAAGGTTGATTTTTATTTTCCAAGAAAGACTACTCTGTCAACCTTATTTGATGTTAGTCTCAATGTTTGTATAATTATGTCCCTTAGACCAGCCAGCTACAATGTATCTGTTCATCGATGACGTTTCCCTCCTAAAGTTAGGGTCGCCTGAGGTCATTCTTTGTGTTTGTCATTGTGACATGTTTATGGGGTATTCTTGCTTAGAAATTATTATTCAAATATTAAGGTATATCATGTCATATATGAGATGTAAGACAAGAAAGTATCTCAAGAATATTACTAATTCGTCAAAAAAAACTTTTATCAAAACCACAACTGTATTAAAAATTAAGTCGTTATTTAGTTGACATTATAACTTTCAAGAACAAATAAACAAAACATACAAATTCATCAAACCTTAATATTTGAAAAATAATTTCTAAGTAAGAAAAGCGACCAACAACTTCTGAATAAACAAAATATTACCTTAGGTGACCATAGCTGGTCAAAGGGACATAATTATACAAACATTGAGACTAAAATCAAACAAAGTCAACAGAATAATCTTTCTTGGAAAATAACACTTTACCTTTAAAATGTGACTTTGAAAATGTATTTGAAATCAAAATGTTGTGATGTGAACAAAGTAATATTTTATTACAATCCATGTAACTTAACAAAATGAGATAAACATTTTTGCAAAAATAGCCTTAACTGCGTTATTCACATATAAGAAAGGTGGTGCTAAGTACAGTAGAATCCCCACAAAAGACCACCCCGGAATTAAGACCACCCCGCTATTAAGACCATTTTTTATAAGAACGGAATATTCTGTTCTTTATGTCGATGGTTACATGATCCAGAATTAAGACCACCTCATTTATCCACTTTTAAGACCACAAGGTTCAGTCCAAATTCTTTGTTTTATTCTTTATTTGACCCCACTAAATTGAGATCACTGATTTAAAGTCAACACCTAGCTTGATCTGCTTGTTATGTTGTTATTATCTGCTTGAATGCTCTTAGGCATGACACTTGATTTCACAAGGTGTCAAAAACATTTTATGGTTTTGGGATATTGTATGAAATAAGGTGAGAAAGTAGAGTAAAGAGTGGTTTAATGTTGCTTAAAGCATATTAATTATGAGAAGAATAAATTTTTATTTGATGGGTGAATTATAATATCATATAATAATTGATATTGAAATCAGAACAAATAGAATTTGATATTAAATTTCTTCAGAAATAATTGTTTTTCCCAATCATATGTAACATTAGAACATACTTTTATATTGCATTTGCAGGTTAAGATACATATTGTTTGTTCACACAAAACTATAATATAAAAGACCATGGTCATAAAATGTGTAAGAAATGATAAGAATATTCACAATTAAGACCGCCCCGCAATTAAGACCACTTTTGCCCAGTCCCAATGGTGGTCTTAATTGATGGTTATTACTGTACTGCAGAATCGGATTATTATTGCACATAACAATTATAAAATAGTACTTGAATTTTTATTTCTATTTTTTTTCTCCGAATATAATACTTTTTTTCTCTAGCTTGATATTCTTGAAATATTTTGGCTCATGTGGTAGCATGCAGCTTTAAATTAAATGGACTTTTTCATTTTTCAATCTGGAAAAAGATCTTTTTCATCATTGTAGGGGAAATTTGAAAATAAATATTTACTGACTAGTGAACAGTACAGACCAAACGGCATGTTCTTAATATGATATTGACCCTAACGTCGTCCAGTTGCATGTGACGACTAATTTGCCATTTGTAGGCTAAGGATTAACAATCTACATTTCGCCAGTGATTACGGTCACTGAGTTCAGATATCCGGCGTAACTTACAGAAATGTTGGTGATTCTTATCAAGTACCCGTGCAAGCAAAAAATTGCGCAAATTAGATAACGATGATAAGTATATATATCACTTGTGAGGTTTAAGAGATGCCACGTGGCCTTTGTGTTATTTGTGAACATTACTACCCATTCAGAAATTGTACTTAATCTTGTAAAGTACTGAACACTTTTACAAAAATATCTCAAGAAGTGCAACAACCATGTTGTGAAATATTTGAATGATTAAAAAATAAATGATTTTCGTTTGTTTAACATTTTGGGTTTTTTCTTTCCCATATTATGGGTAGGTGAGGGGCTTTGAGCTTCACCGTCACTGGATGCCTTTTTCTAGCCATTTTGAGAAAAAGTACCTTGCCCAGTTTGGGAAATTTTGCGCCGTAAAATTGCTGAAGTGTGGAAAGAAAATATTTCTACATGCCCAGTTTGCATAATATTTTTTAAAAAAAAACACACACACACACACACACACAAAAATAATTTGACAATGAAATGTGTGAAAACATATGTCTGATACCATACTGGAATGAAAGTCAGCAAATTTGTCAGTTTTAATGCCGAAAATTTCAGTTTGATTAGGATTGTTTTAAATACATTTTTGCCATTAGGAAATTGTCTGATAATTTGACCACTGAAGATACTGGGAAAAGGTTTGCACTGTAGACTAGGCACGAGAGGGAAACCTGCATTGGTAGAACCACCGACCTTTCGTAAGCCGACTAGATAGCTTCCTCACATGAAAGAGCGGGATTCGAACCCTCAGCTTCTTAAAAACACATAAACGGGTCCTCCCATGGAAAACACCACTTTGTTAATTTGTTTATCTGAATTAAAAAAAACTTTCACAATGAATAACCCCATTGCATGCCAGGAAAAAAACGAACCTGTTTAAATGTTGTCGAAATCTTTAAAAATGGTAAATGACAAACGGTTGTGAACAACTCTTACATGAGGCTTTATTATACGGTACTCAGCGTCTTTCCTGGTACTTTCCTGGTACTTTAAAAGGCTATGGTTATTGCTCTGATAAGTCGGCTAATGGCTACTGATCCTAAGTATATAAGATATAACACTTCTATCTGAATAAAATAATAAGAATAAATTAACACTTCTTTATCTTACAGGAGGAAAACGGTGTTCCGTGAAACAATTAATGGCGTATAAAATACCTTGGATCCAATGGATTTATATTGGTCCAATGGAGCATTTCAAACAACAATATCCAAGCCAGTGATGAAGCATGATGTAAAGACGTCTGACTTTGTGGAGAATATTCTTGTAGCTACCTATCTGAACAATTTTTGTAATCTTGTATTGGTTGGTGGTCTTTTGCGCGGGAGGAAGCATGTGACCGGACATAATCTATTTCACCAAAAAAATGCGGTTTCGATTATTTATACATAGATTTACAAATAGAGGATATACTAGTTGTTTTTTTGTTGTTTTTTTTGCTATAAATACATGATTTATTTTCATCGAGTGGTATGAAAATAAATATTTCATGAGTGGCGGTAGCCACGAGTAAATATGATAATTTTAATATCACAAGATGAAAATAAATCCTGTATTAATAGAAAAAAACTTGAATTTTCTGTTTATTAAATACATTTTTCTCTTCTTTTTTAAAGCAACAATTTGAAAGACTTTTCCTTAAATTTTGTAAATTGACTGAATTTAGAAGAAAGTAGTCCGGCAAGACAGATTTGAAAATTACGGAAAATATGTTTCACTGTAGTGAAAAAAAATTTTTTACAGTGAAAATACGGAAAATAAAAAAAATGGATTTTATTTCATCAATATTTTTCAATTTTTCATTCATAAGTATATAATGAAATTATATATGTATCTATCTTTGATTAAGTCAAACCTTGCAATGCTTTATGGTGTATATATACGTATTGTGGCCCTATTTGATTGAAGTATAGGCATAATGAATTCTGTAGCATAGACCAAGGACTTTTATTACTTAATTACCTTGAATAAAATGGTCAGACGAAAATTTTGAGTGTTGTTATAATTTTGATTTTCCCTAGATACTTCGCCTGGATTACTTTTTACACTACCATACTATAAATAATCAATATTGCCACATATGAAGAGAAAAAGACATTTACCAGCATCAAGTTTAAATAATAATCATGACCTTAAAATAATAATTTACAGCATTGAAAGCAGCGCTGAATAAGAATTTGTTTGTCATAAAAGTAGCAAAATGTAAATAAGGAACTAGTATTTTGACTTTCATACAAAATCACTACAATAATTGAACTAATTGCAAAAGTTGGTAAGTGACAACACTGTTGTACAGCGTTCTCTGGAAATAGCCCCTCAAAAGGTCGAAAACGAAAGTAAAAAGGTTTACGTCGAGTTCAACCGAGGTAATGTTTCAACTTATTTTTATCGATTTTTCCTTTCTAAACAATTTTGTGAAGCTGAATGTTTCTGGTTTTAGGGAAGTATTTGCTTTTGTCTGCAAATTGAATACTTTTTGTTAAGTTGGCGATAAATTGTAGCGTATTTGTTGCGAACAATGTTGATATTTACCATGAAATTAAGCCCGAAACGCCTTTTCTGTATCAAAATCCGTCTTTAATAAAAACTATAGACTTTCCTCTACTTGTATTTGAATGTTGACCCATCAACTCGAGCTGCTTTCAGCAAGATATGCGAAATACAATCTTGCCTTGTCTAGCACGGTTTTCTACGGGGTGTAGATGGAAAACTGTTAGCGAGTGTACGGGGTGTAGTAGGTAAACGATTGTTATATTTTCTGCAAAATGAACTAAATAAAGTACCAGAGCATGCACGTACGCTGATGAAGGAATAACGATCGATGTCGGGAGCAGGGATCGTGTTTAAAGTGAAACATTATTATTTTTCAAAGGAATAAGAAACACTTTATTATATATATGTAATATAAAAATTAATGGTAGTAAACCGTTTCCCTACAACAACTTTTTATATGTGACTTTGAGTTAATAGGAAAATATATATAACTCAGTAGACCTTATTACAGATTGGTAGAATTTTACAGTAGAAATGCATAATTTGTCTGAAACAATAATAAGTATAGTCCAAAATCTAAAAATGGACACTGTACATCAGTCGAACAGTGAGTAACGTTTTGGAAACTATAACGGGAAACCAAATATAAAAAAAGCCTTTGAGAAGTTAAAAAATAAATAAAAAATCATACGGGGCATACAGGGGCATAACCGTGTGTCAACGGGAAATACCATCATTAAATAAGAGCTCTTATTATGGAATCATACAGGCACCTTAAAGTGTATAAAGCTATACCTGATGGAATATTTTATAAAATTTTGAAAACAATGAATATATATACATGTTTATTACTTTCATAACCTTGTGGCCGTTTCTTAACATATTTGTAACAGAGAATGTCTATGTTATTTAATATACAATTAACAAGAATATTGTATGTAAACAGAATAAAATGGCCTGGCTTCTATTTTTTAGTAGGTTTTGTAGATGATTTCACACACGCCCCACTTGATTTCAATAACATATTCTGATAAATTTCGTTAATTCTAAGTATTCTTTCATCAATTTTGAAATATTAAAAAAAACAATAACATTTCAATCCACAGACAGCAAAATAATAGCTAAAAACACTTTTGTGATAAGTAAGATTTCGGTTACAGACCACTAACTGTTTTGCTACTACCACTATCGACATAATAACCGGGAAGTTTATTTATTGCCAACAGTTATTCATGCAAAACCTGTTCTCGATTTGTGATTAACATAATTATATATATAGTTTAGATAGAAATCTAAAATACTTTAAAACCGAAAGAAGACAAGCTGTTTTATAGGTGGTGAAGATCTTGTTTTGTAAGTAGAAAAATATAGTTTGACTCTAGATCTATAGCTAGTTACAGTACATTTTTATGATTGTTTTAATTATCATCCTCTAATGCCTATGACGTCAAGGTTTATAAAAAAAAATATAAACATATTTGGCGAAAAACATATACTTTCATTTTGTTGAGAGAAATTCATAACTTTTTATTTCATGATAAATCATAATTTAGCCAAGTATGATATAGAACAAAATATTAAGATTATTGTTGTATCAAATTCTGAAGGAAGAGGGTGGTGTATGCACAGGGGGGAGGGGTTCACGATGTGGTACAATATGTATATCTGAAGTGTTGTTGTTGTTTATTATTTTTATGAATTTATTAACAGGAATAATAAATTGCAAACCATGGAGTGAGTATAAAGTAGTTCTACCTACATGTACATGGAAAGCAGACAGTATAATAACACTGTTTAATCGTTTCTTCGTTCTTTTTCTCACCCAAAATGTTGTTACAATTTTGAACAGAATTGTCTTTATCTGTTTTGGAAGTATTCATTTCAGCCAGTATTAAATTTCTGCAAAAAATATAATAAATATAACGATGATGTAGTGATGATGATGATGATGATGGATGAGATGATGATGATGATAAATTATGGATGATGATGATGTTTATTATCATTATTATTGTCATTATTATAATTATTATTATTATCATCATCATTTTTATAATTATTATTATTATTAATATCATCATTATTATAATTATTATTATTTATATTTTTTTTTTATTATTATCACTAATATTATTATGATGATGATGTTGTTGTTTTTGTTGATGATGATGTTGTTAATGATGATGATGATGATGATGATGATGATGACGACGATAATGATGATGATGATGAATTATGGATGATGATGATGATGTTGTTGTTGTTTATGATAATGAATGACTTTGATGAATAAAAGTGATGATAAGTATCTTGATGATAATTAATGATGACTGAGGTCAGATCTGTCCAGCATTCATTCACTCACTTAATCCCTTCTTGGATGCACAATTCTTTTCCTCTTATATCTAAGTGGGTGCATAAGAATATAATACACGTACTGGCTTAATAAATATTGCTTAACATTATAAACAAGAAGAATCTATAAAAAAATTAGCTATCCTAATATTTTATTTTAGAATGGCAAGAACTATCTTTTCATTTGATTTCATAACGGCCAATGAGATTCCCAGATTTCAGTTTGTAATTTAAAATGACCAATGAAAATCCTTCTTACATTCGATTCTTGCCGTGTTTGCTACATGTAAGATATAGTCAGTATGTATCATGGTGTCATGGTTAATTAAGGAGTCAGACTGGTTAACTTTGATGTTTGACATCTTGAATTAATGATAAACCAAACTTGACTTTGTAGTTGGACCCCTATTATTTAAGCACCGGCATCCATTGGATCCCTGGAAAATCAAGTGATGAAAATCCCTGGGCATTAAACTAGTTAAATTATATTTACTACTTCACGATATAAGTCTCGGGACATTAATATATTTCACTAGTTTACAGTTTTCTATACATCAATGAACATAGTACAAATGTATTATAATGTAAATACTTAGTTTAAAAGCTCTACATTTAAACTTCGGCTGATATATCATGATCTATTGTCAGTCAATATTTCATAAACGAATTTAAACATCCTGCTTTTATAACGAATGCGAACATAGTTTTTTAACCTAATATAAACATGAGGAAAGTATGCCAAATCATAAAGATACAGAAGTTATCAAATTATTGTTTTTTGCTCGTGAATATATTGACGCTTATTTGATATACTAGTATCAAAGACACAGAAAAAGGGCTGGATTACCTGCTTTTTCCAATGCTTAAGGCCCAAGACCACAGTTATTTTTGCTATACGTTCTATATAGCCTAAGAAAGAAATTGCAATTTTCTAAAATCATATAGCTCAACTTTGTAGAACTATGAGAGAGACAAATATAGATCTACGAGTATGTGCTATAAATGACTAGTTGACCAGCTACCCTTTTTTTCAAAATGTCCACCTTTATGAACAGCGTATAAAGATATTTTGTCATGACATTAGTAAACAGGCAAAGCCCCTATTAAACTGAACAGTGTGTATATGTTATCATCAACATTCATATTTATCTATCATTTCATATCTACTCTGTAAATTATGACTTTTTAGCGATGTCTTTCAATACAAACTTCTTAAATAATCAGAATGAAACATAGAAACTATTTCTCTATCACACATCTATGCAGTTTTTGCGACTTACGGCCGTGCATATATTTTGACGTGACGTCATTTGCGTTATAAAAATATAGTGTAAAGACGCGCTAAATGTTTGCGTTATACTATAGGCGCGTCAATGAGAAATGACTGTTTTTCACTTAAAACGGTCTTTATTTATGGTATGTGATAAATAGAATATTAAATTCTCGTAAGTTTATTACTGAATTTATTGAACTCGTTTGATAAAATAATATCAAGCTCGCCAGAGGCTCGTATAATATAATTTCATACAACTCGTTCAATAAATTCTGTATTGAACTTACACTCATTCAATATCCTCTGGCAACAAAGGGCAAATAACTGTGGCCTGTGGTCTTATGGCAAGGGTAACACGCTATTGACATACAAAGGTTAAAAAAAGGTGGCGTATGAATACAATGTTTCCAGGCTGTAAAGATTGACACACTATATTGTAAATTCCCTCATTAATTATGACTTTGTCATATCAACAGAACAATGACTGCTGCTGTCGTAGGAAGTAGACAAACGGATGTGGAAGAGTTTGGTTATGACGTTCAAGTTTCCAGTGACCCGAAGGCACGACTCATGTACTATGTGCACAGTATCTACAACGTCCTTGACATGACCTCGATACCAAACATCCAGAAATTGAGGAATGTAACATTCTATCTTATTTGTTTATGTATTTTTGTTATTTATTTATTTATTTATTTATTTATTTATTTATTTATTTATTTATTTATTATGTTATGTTATTTATTTATTTATTTATTATGTTATTTATTTATTTATTTATTTATTTATTTATTTATTTATTTATTTATTTATTTATTATGTTATTTATTTATATATTTATTTATTTGTATTTTGTATTGTATGACATTATACTTATATTTTAAGATATTTACATATAATTTGATAAATAAGATAACGAGCTTTTCAATATTTATTTATATTTTTTAGAAATACGTGTATACATATCAATATGTTCATAATATTACATAAATGTAGCAATGAAATTAATTGATTTATTGTAAATCACTGTACATGTTGTATAAAGACAACAACTTTGATACAGTTTACTTTCAGTAAACTAAAGTTTAATTAATTTCCAGCTTTAGTTTGGCCTATGTGGAGTGCGGGGGTGTATTGTCAGTTTATTTGTCTTGTTCTTATCTGGTTATAGTGTATTCATTTCGTTTTTTTATAATTTGTTTCATTTATATATTTTTTTTATTTATTTATTTATTGTTTGTTTGTATATTTATCTGTATATTTATCTATATATTTATTTATGCATTACCATTTTGTTTCTTCTTTGTTTTCACGTAAAATACTGCAGACATTACTATCATATTTTAAACATGGAATACATGTATAATAACCTTGACCTTGTTATCACAAGATGGATTCTGTCAAATATTAACCTAGACCTCTTTATTACAGAAATTACAAAAGTCATCAGCGACTGACAGACGCTGAAACGAAGCAGTTATATGAGCTCTGTAAAATACTGTCACCAGATAAGCTTAATAACAAAGTCATATTCCAGGTAAGTTCGCCTGTTTTTATGTCTTCTGTTTTCATGTCATCTATTACGCCGCTTGTCTCTTCGTTTCTTCTTTTCCAACTTGATGTTTAACTATGCTTTTTTAGTCAATTCCATCTTATTTGTAGAATCGGAACAAAGGGAGATAATAAAAAATAATATGAAAAATGTATGAATGAGGAAAGTCTTCGAGAGTCATCACCCCTACTTAACAGGTTACTCTTTCACATTTTGGTGATCTCTTTAAATGAGAGACCTCGACCAAAAACAAAGCTGAAAAAGGGGTGGTTATAATTATATAAAAAAACAAATATATGTGTATAAATTTTATCATCAATAATAATATTACTGGAATTCTATATGAATTTTCATCCAATACTTTATATTGTTTCTAATTGGAATAATTATTTCTCTTTTAATAACATAGCTATTATTTTACGTCCAATAGACCAACCTAATATATTACCATATCTATTATACCTCACGTAAACTTTTTACTATGTCGCCGAATATGTGACGTCATATATACTAAAATAAATACAAAAAAGAACTAATTTTATCATATAAAATGCGTATTAGCCATTTTTCAATAATTTGGCGGCCATCTTGGTGGCCATCTTGGATTTCTCAAAACGTACCATGATTTGACATGTCTACCCAAAATTTTTGTAAACTTCAAATATTTAGCTTTACATTGGTATAACATTTATCCATGGACCATTTTTAGCACACAAAAGGTCCCCAGGGACTGTACTACAGGGTGTTATTGCGATCTTTTTCTTTCTTTTTTTTCAAATATTCCCCAGGGGTGAGTCATTTAAGAACACGTTACTAGTTCTCTCCCCTCGCAGTAATCAGTTTGGTGAAAAATTACATTAAAATGTTGTTTGTTGCTAATATGTACTGTTACCCAGGGAGACATGTGTTTTATAATTATGCATGCATGTATTTGTTTACATTACACAGAATTACGTTAAGGCCATAGTTGTTTCGCCGAAAACATTAAGAAGGGCAAAGATAGGGAAAACACCATGCCTAGATGTGCAAGCCTGTGTTTCAAAGACCCCAAACCACGAAACGATATGGCGTCATTAACATTGCTTTTTTCATCGAAATGACGCTATTGCGTATCGTCTTATCGTCTTATCGTGTTGTTGTTGTTGTTGTTTTTGTTGTTTTTTGTGGGTTTTTTCCACCCAAAAACTATCTGGGCTGTAGGCACACATGTTTTTGCGTTTTCGCATTTCTTACCGTCTTTTCGTTCTATCGCCCTTCTCGATGAATAGATCGAAAATGTGAGACATCAATGACCCTAACCGAATACCGTATATTTTTCAGGATGATACCTTGTGTGGACAGGACGACAACAAATTCTACAAAATCAACACCACAGAGCATAATCTTATTGTGTCAGAAGCTCTAATTATCGGTAGGTTTATTTAGCCCAATCCTAATAACACTAATTAAAGGGACTCCATTGAGGTCTAAAAGCCTAAAAACATGAGATTAGAGTTCGAACATGGATCAGCTTGGGCACATAAAACAGAAAGATAATAATTAATAAATACTCAAAAATAATTTGAAAATCGTATTTTTGTGCTATTCAAACCCTGAAACGTTTTTCAATTTTGGTCAATTTTTCATGATAAGACTTTATGTCCTAAAAAAACTATTAAGATATTTCAAATCAAAAGGACCAAGACGTTTATAAGATGTACCGTCTTTTATAACAGACGATTTAATTAAAAGATAGGCTTAATATTTACATGTATAGGTACAGAATTCTCATACTCACATGCGATAAAGGCATGTCAGGAACATATTTTCCAATTCATTGTGGAATCACTGATTTTAACTTTTTTGTTTTCATTTATTATTTATCAATTACGCACACATTGGGTTGCATAAGATTTATTACAAGTTTGTTATTAGCAAATAAAGATCTGTTTTTTTATAATTTCTATCCGAACACCCCTTTGTAAGGCTTATTTTGATTGGTTTAAAAGAGATTGCCTCCTTTGTCCTGATTGGCCAAAATATTATTGATTGCAAAAGGAGGTAAATCCGATTTTGGTGAAATTTCTGCAAATATTTGATTGACCTAATGGCTTAGCTGCTAATTAACACTTCTTTTATTACATGTATATTGTAGGAGGAAAAAGGTGTTCCGTGAAAAAATTAATGGCGTACAAAATACCTTGGATCCAGTGGATATATATTGGTCCGATGGAGCATTTCAAACAACAATATCCAAGCCAGTGGTGCACCATGATGTAAGGACGTCTGTCTTTTTGGAGAATATTCTTCTAGCTACTCATCTGACATTTAAAGTGAACATTTTTTGTAATCCTTTATCGGTTGGTGTTTCTTTTTTTTTTTGCGCGCGCGGGAGGAAACACGTGACCGGACATTATTTAATACACGACTAAATATTGTGGCTGCGGGTTCATTTTATTAACATATGCAATGTATTGTACGTAATACATAGATTAATAGAATTATATAAGTATCTATCATAAACTTAGTCAAACCTTACAATGACGTACATGTATATAAATACACTGTATTATAGTCTCATTTGATTGAAGTATAGGCACAAAGAATTCAGTAGCATAGACGAATGGTACTTTAAAACAGCTGCAGAACAACGCTCTTTGCTATTTTCATAGTTTTTCTTGATTCAAAATTTTGCTGATTTCCTCTAGATTTTGATTGATTTTCGCTAAAATATAATTTGATATTCAAATTTCGAAGGGGTTTCATATTCTAGCCAGATCGCCGGAATGGCCTTGCATGAAGTCTCAACAGGGTGTCGTTATAGTGGGATGACGTCATGATATCAATTATATGACAAAACGCCAAGAAATATTCACACTGTGTGTGCGTGTATGTTCGTATGTGTTCCTTGTGTTTCTTCTTGTTGTTTTTGAAATAATTAACGCTTATTTGATGTGCCTGATTTTTTGCCTACACAATTATTTTGAGTTTCATACATGTTCATAAACTTTAAAGGCAGAAAGGGAATATATATATATATATGTTTCCCTTTAAGAAAGGGCAAACGTGAGTTTTATAAAATGGCGTTATATCACCTAAAGAAAGTAGCGCTGAGATGAATATGAAAGAGTTTGTCATAAAAGTAACAAAATATATGAAAGTGTTTGTCAAAAAAGTAGCAAAATATATGAAAGTGTTTGTCATAAAAGTAGCAAAATATATGAAAGTGTTTGTCATAAAAGTAGCAAAATATATGAAAGTGTTTGTCATAAAAGTAGCAAAATATATGAAAGTGTTTGTCATAAAAGTAGCAAAATATATGAAAGTGTTTGTCATAAAAGTAACAAAATATATGAAAGTGTTTGTCATAAAATGTAGAAAAATATATGAAAGTGTTTCTTAGTTTAAACATATTTATTCCCGAAAGTATATATAATGTACATACAAATATATAACAAACAAAACATTTTTACACAATGGAAAAGGATGAGAATGAAAGACAAGTCTTATAGAATTCTTCTCCTTTGGCGAACTATATGGTTTGTCTTAAATAAGTTTATAATTAGTATATACTAGACAAGGGAATAAGCATTAATTATACACACATAAAAATATATATTTATATATAAACTTTTATAGAATAGATTAACTACAAGTAGATGTCTAAAATGTAAGAATATATATAAAAGAAGAAAACAAAATAGTAGAAAAGAGAAGAAAAAGGGTGAGAGAGGATTTAGTCTCAATTAGAATGGATCTAAGTAAATCTTTTCGTTTTTTCTATATAATTTTGTACATTTTTAAATATAATAACGTTGTCCTGGTATGTAAGAGATGGGTCACCATAGAGAAGTTTATGAAGGTTTATGCTGAAGTCTTGCAAGTTAAGAAGGAGTGTTCTGCGGACGGCATCGTATGCACAGCAGTCGAAAAAACAATGTTGGGTAGTTTCAATTTGCCCACAATTACACAAAGGGGTAAGAGAAATGTTTTTCAAAAACAGGTGGTGATTTAATGCGCTGCAGTTCGTTCGAAGCCGAGTGTGAAGGACACTGTGATAGTCTGTTATGTCGGAAATAGCTTTTTATACCTAGACTAGTGTTATTATGTTTTATTGTATCCAACTATAAATGAAGGTTATCTTATCTTATCTTAAAGATTATCTTAAGATTATCTTAAGACATTGACATTATACATCGATGTTGTGAATATAGTACACGTACAGGCAGATCTAAAGAATGCTCATGTTACAATGAGATTTCATAACCAAATGAAATTTATCGAACGTTACGTCAATATAGAAAAAATCGTCCGGTACATGGTCCTGTCCGGCAGACGGTCTGAATCTAGTATACATGTATGTATTTTGGTCAATAATATGATCTCTTTTTCTATAAATAGTTTAAATTTGGTAACAATTTAGATCCTCCAATATTTATGCCTTTGTTTACAGTTTATCCTCAAAACTTGCAGACAGATTCTCTACACAACAATTATTATATTTTGTTTGTTTGTTTGTTTGTTTCATTTTACGCCTTTTCCCAACAGTATTTCAGTCATATTGGCGGGTAGTTTCCTAACCATCGTTCCTGGAGAGTTACACCAGTACTAGCTAGACTACCTTCCTCCGAGCTAAACTACCAAAACATCTCCCGAGGGTCGAACAATTATTATATAACAACAATAATAATAATGCTAATGATAATCATTATCATCATCATCATTATTATTATAAAACATTCGGGCAATTTATTTCAACACACATTTCACTCCTTTTTTTCTAAATTAGTGTCCCAACAACGAACGGTTTATTGTAATTTTCATTAATTTATGCGACATGTACTTGTATATAATTTTCCAATTAAACAAAACAAAGTATTTAAAGTATAATTACTATTTAAATTCACATATAATAATAAACACTTTATTTCATGAAGGTAACATATTAAGTAGTATATCTTATTTACAATACTGTATATCATACATTTTAGCTCTTTCGATTAGTATTAAAAATCCCTGATTTATTCAACATACTTTCAGCTATTGTTGCAACATATGTTTATATAATACTTTGTACGAAATTTTCTGGTTCAGTGAATAGTAAATTACAAAATATACTTAAAAGTGAACGGGAGTTGGGAAAATTAACCGTGCATTTTTACGATACGGTAATAAAACGACTTTTAGCTTTCCACTACTCTTCAATTACCTCCCTTGAAGTTTTAGGGGGCGCTTACATTACTTCCGCTTTCTATCTGAACGGTTGCAAGATGTGGAATTCTGTGATTTTCCTGTTTTTAGCATGTATTTACGTAAATGCAGAGCTTCCAAAGATAAGATTCGAATACAAATACAGTTTTAAAGGGCCACATTTAGTGCAGAAAGACCACAGCATCCCATTTTGGGAATATAACGGAGGTAAAGTGAATTTTAATTTGCCGGAAGTACACGTGTAAACAAAACATACATGTATGCATGAACCATATGTTTTTTGTCTAATTAACATTTATGGCAAATAAAGCATTTGATATTTCATTAATATTTCATATTGTTTGTTTTATGCATTTTAATTGGTGGCAATTATTTTAAGACTTGTAAAATGTTTAAGCAAAGAATTTTGTTTTATGATTAGTGATCTGATAATGTTTCTTGTACTGGTAAATGTAGGGAATTAGCTGGTGATTAAAGAGATATAATAATATATATAAATGTTGACAACATTTTTAATCTTGAACTTTTTGCATGCAGCTAGTAGTTCAATATATCAGATGATACGGGCTTGTTATAGTTTGTCAAGCTCAACGTCTTATCAGTTATTGCTCATAAACGCATAGTTTCATTAAATATAAAAAAAATGTCTACTGTCTTTAATGAAGAGTTTATCAAATTTTCTTTCAATTTCATGTTCCATAATTAACAAACGGTACGTTACGATACCGAAATCAACTTGATTTCGGTAAAGTTACCGAAATCAACTTTTCATTACCGAAATCAAGTTTTCATTACCGAAATCAACTTATAAAATCACAATTAAGCGTTTTATTATATTTTTTTCATTATAATATATAACAATAGGTTAAGTTTGACTTTCATGCAAAAAATCAGTTCGAAATAATCATTAATAATGATATTAGAAACAAATAACTAAATATCAAGATTATTCCCTGATTTGTCACGAACCGAAATATATGTTACAATACCGAAATCGACTTGTAAAATCACAATTAAGAGTTCTATTATATTTTTTCATTATAATGTATTACAATAGGTTTAGTTTGACATTCATGCAAAAAATCAGTTCGGAATAATTAATAATTATGAAATAAGAAACAAATACCTATATATCAAGATTACTTCCCTGATTTGTCACGAACCGAAATATATGTTACCATACCGAAATCGGCTTGTAAAAGTTAAAATAAACATTTTCAAAGATCTTGTTTAATTAATTAATATATAATCATTCAAACTGAACCATAAACATAGGAAAATAATATTTAATTATAAAAAATGATGATGTTATAGACCAGGTACGTATTTACGTACCTGTATAGACGGATATGTATATTATATATCATCAGGGAATTCCCCAGACGCTTTTAGCGCATCGGCACCGATGCGCTAAAATTTCAGAACAAGAAATCCCGATGCGCTTAAAATTATCATAGCGCTTTAAAAAATGACCGATATTCCTTTCTATTGTGTCTATAAGTTAACCCCAATTAGCCAAATAAACAAGCCAATATACATGTCCTGTGTAGATAATTACCCGAGGCGTATACACAACCCGATACACTGATTGCCTTGAGACTGTGTGACGTCACAGACACCTGTCATCGATGTCTGCAGACGACTGTTGGTGCACTTTCAGGTGTTGTCAATTACCGTGTATTGAGATGGGTGCAATTTAACCGCGGCCAATCTCATTAAAATCATATCCTAACTGTCGCTTCACTACCCTACGCTTCGTAGCGAAGAGTAACGGAGCAAAAACGATGATCTGATTTTAATGAGATTGAACCGCGGCATGTGTGATATTTACATGTTTCAGGTAGGTGAAATACATTTTATTGTTTTGATAGTATAATTGGCATTAATTGACTTGCGATATAACAGTTTGATATTTAGGGATGAATGGGTTAATTGTCTTGATATAAGTGTAATGTTTAATTTCATCTTTCACTTTCTTACGACCGTAACGTCTAAGCAGTACTGTAGTATTAAGATTTCAAAAAATAATATGTCTAACATGAATAAGGGAAGCCTAGTTCACTATCAATTAAAGAGTTTTTGTGAGCAATGTCGTTGAAACTGTCTCAGGATCATTTTGCTATTTAATATATACATGATAATCGTATTTTACTTGGATTAAACTGCATAGATATTCAGAATAAATTTGGTTGATGGCTACTTTAACATTGAAAACATTTACGACTGTTTATTATCAACTTGCAACTGAGTGAAAACAACAACAAAAACTTTACATCAACAATCCCACTTAGACTAAGAGACATTGGTCATTTTCTTTTTTAATTGAAAAAAAAGAGTAAAAATATCTTGTAAACTGTTTCTGTTAACTGAATCCCCAAAATGTGAAAAAAAATAATTTTGCAGATGGACAGCTTTGTGAAGTGCAATCAACTGTCCATGCCCCTTAGCATTGGTTTGTCAGGACATACAGGAGCTGGCCAGGCACTTTGGTGTAGATATGGAGCAGTGCCGCAGCCACTGGCACCAGGTACGTGCCAGTCTAGAGGGGATTGATCAGTCAGCCGACCAGACCATGATCTGGATTACTGGCAACCTTTCTACCAGTCATCCAGCTCTTTAAAGAATTGCTGCTGTGGGTCTCCTCCTCCCAACCTCTACTGCAGGTAATTATTATTAAATTGATTAATTCTTGAACATTAATGAAATTCCAATGACAGTTGCAGATGTGTAACACTTTGCTAGAAGTTTTTCAACATTTCAAATATAAATTTTTTTGACTTCGTTAAGTTTAAACAGGCTAGAAGTTTTAAATTTTCAAAAATTCATAGCAAACAAACAAAATAAATAAATGACATGAGGTTAACATAAATGATTATTAATTTCAGATTGTGAGCGAGGATTCAGCTGCCTGAAAACAGGAATTGTCTCTCTGTTTAAGTTCTAAACTATCTTCTTGCCGTCTCCCTTCAAGGACCCCCATTAGAATCTTTCAACTTTGAGAAGGCAGTCAAGGCATGGAAGGACAACAAACCTAGATGACAGGCCCACTTTTAATGATGTTAATGAAGAAAAAAAAACTGAAATATACTCATTTAAATGGGACACACACATACATATAAATGTTGATCACATGTTGTGAACTTGTGTTTATATATAATTGTTTATTTATTTGAATTGTTGGATATGGAACAAATAAATAATAAAAATTAAGAAAATGTTTATCAAGTGAAAAGCTTTCATTATTTGTTTTAAAACAGCCCACAGCAGTATATTGACACCTAAAATGGCAAAAAATTTCGACATGCGGTATGGGGGTCAACACCCCCTCCCGCACCCACCCCCGTCTAATTCAAAAAATGTAGCGCTTAAAAAAATTCCTGGGGAATTCCCTGATCATGATTACTTCCCTTGTTATTAATGTGTTGCATTACCGAAATCAAATCAGATTTCATTTCAAAGATGAGAACAACCCCTAAAATATTTGCATGAATTTCAGAAGTCTATGAAAAAGGTATTTGAGTGAGTTTTAAACTTTGAATTCATATCGCTTATTTTCAATGTTTAGTCTGATAACATTGCAGCGTATCATCTCTTTGATGTTTCTTAATGATTTCAAAATACAAGATTAAACAAAACTGTGTTTGAAGTTATTCGCCTAATTTAGATCACTATTAAAATAGTTGATTGGAAATTATCACAGTATTTAATTTAAATCCAATGATTATGATTTGATTAAAATAAAAAGACGTAGCGGTAGCCATTCATCATAACACAATTACTAATAAGGAGCAAGCATACACGTGCTCGGACAATGGAGGTGTTAGTTGACATAATTAACATACTCGTTAACCGCAATCCTTTAATATTCATCGGCGCATATAGTTCTATATTATACATATTTCAGATCTAGTAAGCTGGTAAAAATATAATTTTATATTAAATAAATTGTCAAAAGACCGGTTTTAAATTATTTGTAGGGGTGGTCGCTAAACGTTTCCGTAAAAAAACATTTCGGTATATGAGACAAGGTGCTTTGATATTATTATTACCAAATCGCATATCAGTTGTTCCAAAAATGTATGCAATTTTTTGATGTCCCGGATACTTAACTACATATTCTACTTATTGAAAAAGTGTTAAGTAATGATTTTATGTTGATCGATTTAAAATCATTTTAAATTTCATATCTGTAAACAGCATAAATTTATGGAATGACTGGTATATATTTATATGATGAAAAAAATGGAACACTTTATACTGACAAATTTCAATTATGAAATGTTGCAACTTGTACGATATGACATGCTGTGTATTACTGTATTAAGTAAGGTGTGAAGTAATTAAGACAGGAGGTACAGTTGACATATATTGTATGTTAAAGATAAAAGATTATAATGAACCATCTGTTTATTTCGTATTAAACATTTAAATAAATGACAAAAATATAAAAATATTATAATAAAGAGTCCCCATAACATATGTTAGTGATTTGTTAATATATAGTTGAACTGTTCAATAAAAGAAAGACACAAACTTTCCAATTTCCAATTTTACTGCCTGATACATTATACAATTTTTATGGAACATTTTTAGAGCAGTCGAATTATATATCTGTATTCAAATTTATAATAGAAAATCATAAACTTCCGGTTGAAGTTGGATATTTTTCTTCATAAAACATAAACATGTACAAAATTTATAATTATCTTTAACTCATATTACAGAGTATTTTATTTTTCCATCATAGTCCGATCATAGCTTTTTAAAAATACGATTTTATTTAGAAAATTGTTATGCACGACAATCACGTGCAGATATATAACATGCTAATGTGGCGGTATCAGACTTTTTCTTAAATCATTATATACATGCATTCTAATATGAAATGGTATTAGTCTTCTAAGACATTACATAAAAAACATTTTCTATCATTTAATGGTGTACTATTTGGTTTAGTCCATCTACCTGGGTCTATGTGCAATCTATGAGATGATACTCTTAACCTAGTGAGATCTTTACAAAACCGTTCAACATTGATAATATTTAGATATGGTTGAAACTTAAAAACAGAAATATGTCTATAAAATAGAGCTCTACTAGAGTTATCTATTCTACTATCTACTAATTATATACATAATTTAAACTTCACCGCTGATTTCGGTAATGCTAAACACATAACGGGTTGTTTAGAACAAAGGCTAGTAACTCAATAATTACATTTTTGGTAATAACATCATTAAAATAAAATGTTTTCAAAAGATTTTTTAACTGAAAGTCTATTTCACTATTTTTCATCAAATAATGAAGAAATAATAGCAATATTTTAACTAGTTTGGTTTTTACGAGTTGATTTCGGTAATGCTAAACACATAACGGGTTGTTTAGAACAAAGGGAAGTAACTCAATAATTACATTTTTGTAAATAACATCATTAAAATAAAATATTTTCAATAGATTTTTTAAGTGAAAGTCTTTTTCACTATTTTTCATCAAATAACGAAGAAATAATAGCAATATTTTAACTAGTTTGTTTTTAAGGGTTGATTTCGGTAAGGAAAAGTTTATTTCGGCACGGATTTATATAAATCCGTGATTTCGGTAACTTTTCCGAAATCAAGTTGATTTCGGTATCGTAACGTACCCATTAACAAACAGTTAAATGAACATGTATTTTCTTTTCAGATGCCATTGCCAGTGATGATAATATAAGAATAACTCCATCATTAAGAAGTAAAAAAGGTATGTAAATATTTCCTAATCCTAGTTTAAATATTTTTTTTAATTTTTCATAGGATGCACATTTCAGAAATAATTTCAGAAGTTTCCATTGAGTTAAATATGTTAGTTTTGTATAAAAAAAATTCTAAAATATCACAGTTTTAATTATTCATTCAGTCAATGTGCACAGTTGCCTTATTTTGAGTGCTGTATGCTAACCTTCTCAAAGGTTTTCTTGTTAGGGATAAATGTGTGTAATTTAGGGGGGGAAAAGTTGGTACTGTCCAACCCCAGACTAGATAAATCATGTTATGCCCCTGTTTCCCCACAATAACCTAGTAAATCGTAGGTCCCTAGCAGAGTTTTGTATTAACAGAAGATTATTTAGAAAGATAATCCTTGAAAAAAAAAGCTTTTAAATATATGTTACTCTCTTGCATTACAGGATCAGTATGGACAAAGAATGCAGCATCATTCGAGCATTTCTCTATAGAAGTTGTTTTCAAAGTCACAGGACGTGGTCGTGTGGGAGCCGATGGCTTGGTATTTAAAACATTTCAGATAGAATAAATAGAATAAGATTTTTTAATGTATGGCAGAATATAGGATGTTTCCCCAAGTTAAGAAAAAAAAAATTTAAAAAAAATTGTCCTCCAAGACAGACTTTTATACTCCTCAAAATCAATTTAAAATTTTTTTTTGTAATTTGCATTAATTTTATTTCAGTGGGTTAATTCTTAAAACAAATGAATAATATGCCACTTTTTACACCTTAAAATGTATGAAAAGGGCAGTTGCTTTTTACTAGAGGAAAGTATATTTAAAAATGTAAATTATCTGTACTAGTCAACATTGTTGACAAGGGTACATCAGTCAAAATAGATTTTGAGGTTTTTCTGCCTTAAGGAGTTTTGACATGAAAGAAGACCGTTGTCAAACTGTCAATTATAACATTTCATAAAACCAATGCCCAATAACTAATGCATTGTTCTTTATAAGTATTAGTCCTTAAGCTAAGAAAATAAAAAATGTAAAATGATAAGAGAAAAGATCACATTTTCGGCTAAAATTGATGTTGAATACATACCAGCTCTTTTATCATTCAATTTGTTGTTTATCAACATATATTGGGAGCAGGTGTGTCATTTATAGCAAATAAGATCATATTGCCAGCAGAGAAAGTAAACAATCATAATTCCTAATAATCCTTACAATTCCAAATTGAACTCTCTTTAAATATCTGAGAATAAAGTGAAAAAGAAAGTTTACTTGTACAAGAATATATATAATTATATATATACACTATAATTTGTGGGTGCCAAATAATTAAAATATAGCAAAATTGTAGCATAATATTTTCCTTAAATTTTGTGCAAAACATTTCACTCATTTCATGATAAAAACAACCACCATTTTGCACTACTGTGTCACTGGCAATAATTTTTGTCATTAGAATTTAATAGAAAAACTAGATCCTGTTTTCAATAAGATAAAAGACCAGATATTGACTATAAAATCAGCCAAGAAAAGCATGACTATCTTATGAATAAATTTTCTGTTACAGGCAGTCTGGTTTACAGAGATGAAAGGAATCGAGGGTCCAGTTTTCGGAAGTAACGACTATTGGAAGGGTCTGGCGGTGCTCTTTGACTCGTTCGACAATGATGGCCAGGTAAGTTTGTGTGACATGCACAAAATAAATAACCAGAAATATGCTAGATGTCCTGCTAGGAATGATTATATGATTGTTATCTGCCCTTGTGATGAATATGAATGTTTCCAGCCCTATTATAAATATTTCCAGCTCTTCCCATATCTAATATGGATATGGATACAAAATGTAATATTAATAATAAAATTATGTGCCATAGTCCATAGGAAAAAAAACACTATAATAATATTTTTAGTTCACTAAACATTCATTTTTGGAATCAACCCTCTTTTTTACAAATATTGGAGTAAAAAAAGGAGTTTAGAGGTTACATGGACTGTGTTGAATATTTAAGACTGTAAAACAAATTCAGAATGGGTTAGTTTCTTGGTAATTAATCTTTGAGATTTTCCCCAGAATGTCATATTTTGCAGTTTGCATTAGATGAGTTTATGTATTAATACTTCTGAGTAGGTTATACTCACTAAACTTTGTTATTCAGGCTTTTAGTGCAAGGGAGACAACCCCTCCTAAATTACTGTCTTATCCAGTTGCTTCCCTTGGCACTATTTTGCTGTAAGATACTGACATAGAATTGATTTTTAAATAACATTGTTTTCCAGCGCCTTGAGGAAGGCAAGCTTATTAAACAAAGCAAAGGGGTAACAGTACCAGCACTTATATGTTACCATAGAAACTGTACTCTTTCTCTGAAAAACAAAGAAAAAAACAACAACAAAAGTTTAGTCATTTATCAACACTGTTGTGCTTTTGTGAATAGTTTCAGAAATTATTCTACGAAGATGGCAAAATCAGATTTTGACTTAATTGTCAGTTGTATCTGAAGTATTTCTTAACTAGTCCGTATGATATTTATGATTATATAGTCAATTCTTGAAAATTTCCACTAGTCTGCACAGGCTGTTGGACAACTTTCGCAACTCAAACAAATGATTTTGCCATCCCTACTACTACAAATTTAAATCCAGACAAGTATATTGTATACTTCCTGTATGGTAAATATGCTCACAGTGTTGAAATTCAAATAATGACTACTTTTAGTTTGTATAGAAAATAACAGTACTGTATAGGCAATATAGATTTAGTATCCAGTGTTTTTTCAACCAATCGGATTCTTATTAAACCAAAGTTATTGAAAATTGGGAAAAAAATATACTAAGTATTCACAAAAGTCAAATTGTGAATTTTGAATAGTTATGAGCAACGTTGCGGACTAGCAATCTAAGGACCGTTAATGCGTTATGTGCGTGGGTTCAAACCCTGTTATGGCTGAGCAGTTGTTTACTTGCAGAAGAAACTTTACACAGTGCGCTCAGTACTGGTTGGTTCCAGGAATAGATTTAAAAGTGTGTCTGTTAGCCACTAGCTTTCTACACAATGGAATAAAACATAATTCTTTATACACCAACATTTTACAAGAAGAAAACATATATGTAAATGGATGGGTTCTGTTTTAGCGGATGGTTTCCTAATCTTTTAGTAGATGTGTTTCCAAACTGGAATCATTAAGATAAGGGGAGAAAACACTGTAATGTAATCAGAAGTATATGTGTATAAAAAAACAAACTTGTATGTAAAAATCTGTTATAGAAAAGTAATCTCTTCTTCTTTTAGCACTGTCCTGACTATAGACATGTATATTAACATTTATTTAGATAACCTAAGGAATATGACATGAGTAACAATGCTATTCCAGTGTCTGTTCTAGGAGGGGGGATGGGGGCATTCGCTCATATTTTTGAGAATTCCCCCCTATTTTTTCAGAGGCAGGGGGAAATTTTACATAGAGAATGAAGGGAAAAGATCATCAAGTGTAATAAATTCTCACCTTTCGATAAAAAATACCCTCTGTTTTTGGAATCCTGGAATAGACACTGCTATTCTAATCTGTTGTATTACTCACATTGATTGTGCAAAGTTGTTTTTGTCCCACAAAGCCCACACTCAGGGCGAGGGTATATACAACATAACATGTGCAACAACAGTGATACAAAACTATCAGAATTGCAAACTCATGAAATTTTCCTTTCACTATATATCTTCTGTTTAACCATTAAAACAAGTCTTAATCATACTTAAAGAGATACATAATTATATTGTTTTTTTACACATTTGTTACATAACCTTGAATAACTTGAGAAATATAAGGTATGGTACGGGGTTCAAATTTCAGCTCGCATACTCGCAAACTGCGAGTGAATTTAGAACATTGTGAGTGATTTTATCTTTCGCTCGCAATTTTTAGCTCACCTGTCACAAAGTGACAGGGTGAGCTTTTGTGATCGCTTTTCGTCAGGCGTCCGTCCGTCGTCCGTCCGTAAACTTTTGCTTTAAATGACATCTCCTCATAAACCACTGACCCAATTTCATCCAAACTTCACAGGAATGTTCCTTTGGTGGTCACCTTTAAAAATTGTTCAAAGAATTTAATTCCATGCAGAATTCTGGTTGCCATGGCAACCGAAAGAAAAATCTTTAAATATCTTCTTTTAAACAACCCTAAGAGCTAAAGCTAAGATATTTGGCATGAAACATCTTCTAATGAGTGACTACCAAGTTTGTTCAAATAAAAGCCCTGGGGTCAAAATTGGCCCCGCCCCAGGGGGTCATTGATTTTCCCTATATGCATATAGTAAAAACTTAAAAAATCTTCTTTTAAAGAACTGTAAGAGCTAGAGCTAAGATATTTGGCATGAAACATCTTCTAGTGAGTGTCTACCAAGTTTGTTCAAATAAAAGCCCTGGGGTCAAAATTGGCCCCGCCCCAGGGGGTCATTGATTTTCCCTATATGCATATAGTAAAAACTTAAAAAATCTTCTTTATAAGAACCCAAAGAGCTAGAGCTAAGATATTTAGCATGAAACATCTTCTAATGAGTGTCTACCAAGTTTGTTCAAATAAAAGCCCTGTGGTCAAAATTGGCCCCGGCCCAGGGGGTCATTGATTTTCCCTATATGCATATAGTAAAAACTTAAAAAATCTTCTTTTAAAGAACTCAAAAAGCTAGAGCTAAGATATTTAGCATGAAACATGTTCTAATGGGTGTCTACCAAGTATGTTTAAATAAAAGCCCTGGGGTCAAAACTGGCCCCGCCCCAGGGGTCATTGATTTTCCTTATTTGTGTATAGCAAAAACTTAAAAATCTTCTTTGAAAAAACCCAAATAGCTAGAGTTTAGATATTAAGCATGAAACATCTTTAAGTAAATATCTACAAAGATTGTTCAAATAAAAGCCCATTGGTCAAAAGTGGCCCTGTCCCAGGGGTGTTATTGTTTTTAACTATATGTGTACAGTAAAAACTTAAAAAATCGTCTTTTAAAAAACCCAATGAGCTAGAACTTAGATGTTTAGCATGAAACATCTTCTTATGGGTGTCTACCAAGTCTGTTCAAATAAAAGCCCTTGGGTAAAAATTGGCCGGGGGAGGGGGGGGGCTATATACAGGTGAGCGACCTCAGGGCCATCATGGCCCTCTTGTTCAATTTCATAAAATGGAAGTTAAGAGAGTACCTGTTATAGTGTGCACATCGTCAGGATGTTGATATATTTTGTCGACTTCCTACTTGTAAACTGTGGCTTAAATGTAAAGATATGTTTGAATTTTTTTTATGCTTTTACTTCTGTTGGAAAATGAAACTAATTCAACAAAGTCAGACTACATGAAGGCTTTGTTTCAACATTTGAAAATTATCATGTTATATATTTATATTTAAAAAAACAACTTTAAAAATGATGGATTATCCTTAACTAGCCAGAAAGTCATCGTTTGGTATTTCTGTTTTAATTCAAAATCTTGTTACGAATGATAAGGAAATTTTTGTGTTTATGAATCGGTTAACTATTTTTACTTCCATGTTTATCTGGTCAGTATTTTACTTCAATACTTCAATTTGTTCAGTATTTTACTTGGATGTTTATCTATTCAGTATTTTACTTCGATGTTTATCTATTCAGTATTTTACTTGGATGTTTATCTATTCAGTATTTTACTTGGATGTTTATCTGTTCAGTATTTACTTTGATGTTTATCTAATGTGATAAACTTTTAGGACACAAATCGGCAAAGCTCAACAAAATACCCTCGTGGCTCGGCGGTAAACATCAATCACTTTCGAACATTCAGAAAACACTATTTTTATTTTACATTGGCTGCACATTTTATACCTTTTTTTTTCCAAGACCAGAATTATTGTCCAATCTGATCACAAACAATCATGACACAATGTTGACTATTTTTATTATGCTTGAAAGGTTATTTATTTGACAAGATGGAAGTATTTTTCTCAGATTTGTTTATCATTTGATGTAGGTCTGAAGTCTCTCGACCAAGAACTTGTGTGCAAATTTTCAGATCATTCTCTCACTCCGTTTTTCCAGGATCCTCGTTTGTGCAAAAATGACCAAAAAAAACAAAGTTTTAAGAAGGCTATATAAAGTTACTAATTGAGAATTTGGAAAAATATGGGAACTTTTGGGAAAATGAAATTACTCTTGACTTGGAATGTTAAGAATAAATATTGGTATTTATAATTGAATATGTTTGTGATCGGACTGACTGGGTGTTTTTTTTTCTTTCAAAAATTTCGTTGAATTAAAATTGATATATAAATTTTATCTCCGTATTTTTATTTAATTTTGGTTAAATATTTGCACAATCATTCATGAAGAGGACTTTTTTTACAGAAATATTGAAGTACTTTTACTTGCACTTTCCACTTAATATTTCAATTGGTTTAAACATATTTATTTAAGCTTGATTGCAAAACAAGTTCTTGCAGCTTATATAAATCACTTTTGAGTCTGCTTCCCGGAATCAACCAGAACTGGTGTCACATAAAGAAACCGGGTTGTTACCCGATTATGGCTCGAACCCATGACCCCTTGGTTAAGAGGCGGTCACCTTAACTACTAAGCCACCACTCCAATGATTGCAATAATTCATTCAAGTCTGCAGTCTTTGCATTTAAAGAAATTGAAAAGGGTGGCTTTTGTTCAAGCTTTATTCTCCCTTAAAAGACCTGCTGTCTGGAGTTTTGACCCTCTTTGAATTTGGAAAAATATGTCTGATAAATAAGGACATAAAATAGTTAAGAAGTCGTAGTTCCATAGAGATAAGAAAGTTAAGACTCTTTGACCACTGCAATGTTCATACATAGCTGACATTAATGAGTTTGCTGTGGTTAGAATTTTATTTGACTGCTGTGTTCTTGTAGGTCTGGCAATGAAATTCACATCTTTTTGGCCGTTTCATGTCATTACTTTATAAATAACCTGAAAGATTGGTTCTATATAAACTCTTAACAGATGCTAAGCATTCACAATTTTAGAAATTCATATAAATCCAATATAAATGTTAAGTGAAAAAAAATAAATATTGTATGAAAAAGAAAATTTTACTCACATGGCTTACTTACCCTACCCACACAGTCATTATCCATCTAGCAGGGAGAGAAAAAAAGATTATTTTAAGGCTGGCCTTACATGATTTCTATCAACCAGAGAGTAATGACTAGGGGTGTAACAATACAGCAAAAACCATATTGCAATATATTGCCATTCTGTCGAAGCGTATTGCAATATATTGCAATATATATTGTTGTGTATATGTTTTGATGGAGTAACATTATATATTATTATT